TTTCACGTCTAAGGTCATTCAGCTAATGAGAGGTATGATATCAACCCCCAGGAATTTCCATCCAGCCCTCCAGTATGTGGGACATATGGGCCCCTTTGGCCAAAGTCCAACAAACACAAAATCAAAAGATATTTTGCTGTGGATTGAGAGTCAAGGAAGCAAGACCATCTTACCTTTTACCTCCATTCTTTTTTTAATCTTATTTTATTTCAAGTTCTTCTTCAAGGAAAAAAAATATTGAATATTTAGGACCAGCAGATGGCAGAGTAGTTACATCACTGGATTCCCACATGGCTGACCATGGTTCAAGTCCCAGACCTGGTGGCTTGAAACTTATGCCATAGGCATGTGTGTGTGCGTGCCCAAGATTCTGGGAGGAGAATAGAGGAGAAGGGCTTGTGACATGGCCATACCCCCTGAGGGGTGATTTCTCACTTTTCTTCTCACTGCGTCTGCCTTTTTTTTTTTTTTTTTCTTTCTCTCTGGCAAGCACACATACTCTAAGGCAAAACCTCTAAAAAAAATGAAATATTTATTACAGTTTCTAGTCCATAGTAAGTGCTTTAAAAGTGATGTTTTTGAGGAGTCCTAGAGGATCTAGATAGAAAATACTGTTATTACTAGCAGTATTATTTTATTAACTGTCGAGTGATTGCTCTGTGCCAGAGATCTCATTTGATCTCCCAAATTCCCTAGGAGATAAAGATACTATCAATATCCTGTTTTTCTTTTCATAGAAGGAAACCGAGCAGTAGAGAGGTTGAGTTTTTCACGTCTAAGGTCATTCAGCTAATGAGAGGTATGATATCAACCCCCAGGAATTTCCATCCAGCCCTCCAGTATGTGGGACATATGGGCCCCTTTGGCCAAAGTCCAACAAACACAAAATCAAAAGATATTTTGCTGTGGATTGAGAGTCAAGGAAGCAAGACCATCTTACCTTTTACCTCCATTCTTTTTTTAATCTTATTTTATTTCAAGTTCTTTTATACATTCAATCATGTCATTTAGTTTGCACAGTGAATATTGTAACATGTTTATGTTTCTCCCCAGTCCCGCTGATCATAGTATAAAGATATATTCAACAGATAATACCCCATTTCTTTGTGCCATTAAGGCTTTGCCTCTTTATCCAGAATCTATCAGTCACCTGCCTGCTCTGCCTGTCAGAACCCACAACTTATTTTTTTCTGGTTTGCCAGTCAACAGATGCCATATTGGCCTGGCAGTGAGAAAATGAGGCACCAGGGCACTGTGACTGAAAGTGAACTCCAGAGTCAGATGTCTGGATGTGAATCTCAGCTCTAGCACTCTCTGGCCATGTGACTGTGAGACCCATATGACTTTTTCTCCAAGTTTATTTCTTCCAAGAGAGGGAGAAGGAATGCATGGTGAGAGAACTAGAGATTCCTTCAACAGGTCTTCACGCTGCAATCTACCCTCAGTCTCTGCCAGCCCAGATTATGGGCACGCTTATATGCATCTGTCATGCTCAGGGAGGACCCAGGATGTTCCCCATGTGGATCTAGTTGTGTTCCGATTGTGCTGCCTGGCCTGTGACCCTGCTTTTAGCTCCTGTCTTTTTATCTAGGGGATAAGCTGTTTCCTTTGTCTGGGGAGTAGACTACAGGCCTTTTGACCTAATTTTACTGTAAGGATGTCTTGCCTTAGCCCAAATAGTATTCCTTTGTTAGCACAGCTTTTTAAATTTTTTAGAGGTGATATTATAATAATAGGTTGGGTTGTGATATTGAGCATTCATTAAAAATGTACTGTATGAGAGGTTGTATAACAATAAAGTGGTTCTGCCATAGCAACAGCAGTGCCAATTAGAAATGAGTCTAATGCAAGCAGATGAACCCAAAGTAAATTTATCCATAGTTCATATATGATCTTGTCACCACACACACACACACACAGCTTCAGATCTAGTTAAAGAGATGGTGTGAATGTCTACAACATAAATAAATTGTCCCATGTGGTGTGTGCTCTGTTGCAAATGAATGTTGTAGTAATTTTGCAAATATTTCTTGAGTGCCTGCTCTGTTCCTGGTGTTACACTGGACAATGGGGAAACAGCAGATATCGAGACACACACCGCTGGCCAAGAGGATAGCAAATAGCACTGCAGATCAGAGAAAGGAGAGGACTGAGGTCAGGTGTTTAAAGGAGACTGTATTCTTTTCACAAACACTTAGCAAGTACCTTTAGTGCTGGATGATTTTATTCTAGCTTGCTTTGCCCCCACCTCTTATTTTGAAGTTGCTTAGAAGAGTGGCAGAGCTAAAAGCCAACAGCTATAGGAAAGTAGTCACTTCTTGAATCTAACACAGCCAGTTGTAAAAAATAAAGTAGCACTTGAGTTTTTGCCATTTATCTGACAAAGTAAAAAACAAACTAGGCACAAAATTTGGGTGGGACACAGAGACTGACCCAGGCTTTTGAGGCTCAATTCACATTTTAAAAAAATAATAATTCCTTGTTCTTGGGTATCATTCTGAATAAATCTAATATGCATCCTACTATCTGCACATGTTTTGCATCATCAGACATTGTGAGGGCCAGCCCTGAAGCCTAGTGGTAAGGGGGACTGGATCCCACCTGGCTGACTGTAGTTGAAATTCTGGTCCCAGGAAAATATTCCAGGCATGGGTGTAAGAGTTTCAAACTGAAGCCCCTGTTCCCTGCAGCAGTGTTTTGGAGTTGTTCCAGAACAGGTTGGAGATGTCACCAAGAGGGCGTGGGCGTGTTTTGGGGGTCTTGGACATCCTGGAGCCATATCCCTGTTTGTCACTCCCAGTCCTATGACTTCTGTAGGACTGTTTTTTGCTATAGGGTGCATGCACTTGCCAGAAAAACAGAGAGACAGAAAGCGAGAAATCACACACACACACACACACCCACACACACACACAGGGTGGATGGCCACGCTGCAATCCCTTCTCCTCCATTCTCCTCTCAGGATCTTGGGCATGCACACACACGTGCCCGGTGTGAGTTTAAGCCACCGGGTCTGGGACTCGAACCACAGTTTATTACATGGGAGTCCAGTGACATAGCTATTATGCCAGCTGCTACTTTATCATAGGCAATCTCTGCAGTGCTGTGGCCTAGCTGTTCCTCACAGGATCACAAAAATGTTAGAGCTGTGGAATATACACTCTAGAAACTTAATTTAATGCATGTTACCAAAAGCTGCATTATAATCTATAGTTCCCATTCTTATTCACTTAAACTGAATATAATGAACACAAAAACAAAGTCAATAATTTATGTATGAATCCTTATGAAATGTAAAATTCTTATGAAATTCACTTAGAAGATGATGAATTATGAATTTTTGGTATATATTTTGATATATTCAAAATGGTATCCAATATTATTTAGGGATTTCAATAAGTTAGAATCTCTATAAATTGCAAATGACCTTAAAGGCCCACAGTCACTATTTCTATGCCTACTGTGACTACCAATTTTATAAGGTTACAGGAAAAAAATGAACTTGTACATACGAAATATCTATATGATAGTGTTTAGCACCTAGAGTCACCAAAAATGTTGGCTTAGAATAATGTTTATTATACATCAAGTTACTTCTTTAATAACCATACATAGGGACCAACAGGTGGTATGGTGATTAAGGTGCTGGACTTCCACATGGGTGACCATGGTTAGAGTCCTGGACCCAGCAGCCTGAAACTCTTGTCAGGCACATATGCATGTATCCAAAATCCCAAGAGGAGAATGGAGGAGAAGGGGTTGTGGCATAGCCCTCACCCTGGAAGGAGAATTCTCACTTTCTTTCTCATTGTCCCTCTCTGTCTCTCCAGTGAACACATGTACCCTGTAGTGAGAAAATACTCTTAAAAGGGAAAAATTAAAAAAAAACCTATACATAACAGTAGATAAAGGCATTGTTTGCTCATTTTACTTACTATAGTCTGTAACTTAAATCAAAAATCAAATATTTCCATAGTTACTAAAAAAGTAAAGAAACCATTTCCCTGGACCCATCATTATGCCAGGATAAGTCTAGACTTGGAATAAGAGTGGTTAGTGGAGGATTTCTAGACATTATAACAATGCAAGAGCATTCTAGAAACTCACACTTGCATGTAAGCTATGATTCCACTCCTCCTTAAAGCATCAAAGAAGTACACCAAATATATAAAATTAAATACCTTTGCTTCAAAGGACAGGAAACTGCTTCAGCTAAGTTTAATTGAAAAACTGATATCCAGTGCAATTGTCTGTGATAAACTGAGTCTTAAATGATTTGAAAACACTTTGGGACCAGACAAATCAGATAATCACAATCTTTATGGCTAGAAAGTTTCAGCAGGTGTTGACAAGTTGTAAAGATAACAGTTTATAGCACAGTGAAAAGCTAAATATCTAGATTGACTTGCGAATCCATGTTAATACTAAATGTGTAAAAACCCTGGACTTCAAATATTCTCTTAGTGTTCTATTTTGATAAATTTTCAAGATAATAGTGTAGAACTTTATGAAAAACTTTTTGCTTGTCATTAAGCGAATACTTGACTGTGTTTTCTACCATCTAACCCACCGCGTAGACGTCATAGCTGTTATGTGATTTGTACTAGCATGGCAATAAGAGAGCTTCAGCTGCTGTTTTTCCAAAACATTTCTAGTCGGATTACTATTAATAGTTGTAAGAGGCAAAAGTCAGACCTTACCATATCTAGGCATTACTTTATTTATTTATTTTATTTAGGCCAGCATGGAATTTGCCTCATGGCCTCACTCTGATCTCAGCAAGAACACTTTCAAAAGAAGTTCCCTGTTTTTTTCAAAGGTTGTTTGCATGAGTTGATTCAATGCTCTCCAACCAGAGTTCCAAAGCCAGTGGCAAAATATGTACTGTTGGGTTGTCTAATGGATTCACTGCATTTAGCTCCAATCAGTGTGCTGATTGTGCCCCTAGGTGACTCCTCCAACAACTCCAACCTCTGTTTGCTTTTCTCTTTTGTTTACAGGAGCGGAGGGCACAGTGTTCCCTAAATCTATAGAAACACCTAATGTCAGGGCAGATCCCTTCAAGGAACTAAGGTAAACTTCTAACTTTGGTTTGCATTGATTAGTGGCTTTTTCCATTCTCTGTGCAGCTGACCAATGATTCATTCTGAATAAATAATAACAGTGTCAAAACATTAACACATAAATGGAGAAAACAGAAGATAAACTACAAACAAAAGAAAATTCTCTCTGAGAACCTAAAACAATGTGAAATGGGGAAGAGTTTGCCACCTTTGTAAGTGTGAGAGTTACATCCATTTATTTACAGTGTTCATTTCCTACTATATGTTGTGGTACCAAAAACCTGTCCAGTTACAGAACTAGTTGATCATCACTGGCAATCAACTAAAAGAAACTGAAGTCTAAACACAATACAGATTTATTTTTTCTGTGTAACATGCTCTCTGTTACCTGTAGTGGTATGATGCTTGAACTACCTTCTGCTGGTGTCTATATACTAGTGTAAATCTTCAAATATCCATAAGTGTTCTGCTTTAGAAAAGGATAACTCTGAGCTTGGATGTACTCACAGCCTCAGAGTTACCTTTGGAAACAAAAATTGATAGTGATAGACAGAAAGACAGACAGAGAGATACATCTGGAAACCATTCTAGCCCCTCAGGGACCATTCCCCCCATCTTCCAAACAGTAATACATAAAAAAAAATATGTTGAGACAAATATAACTATAATTTCTACTTTATAATTATAATTGTGAAGAATGACTGAACTCATAAACTCATTAACATAGAAAACTAGATTGATACAAATATGACTATAATTTCTTTATTTTTTGAGAGGTTTTTGCTATAGGGTATGTGCACTCACCAGAAAGAGAGAGACAGAAAGTGAGAAATCACCCGCCAGGGAGGATGGCCATGCCACAGTCCCTTCTCCTCCATTCTCCTCTTAGGATCTTGGGCATGCATGCACACACACCCAGTGAGTTTAAGCCACCAGGTCTGGGACTCGAACCACGGTCAACCACATGGGAGTCCAGCAACATAGCCATTACAACAACTTCTGATCCCAAAATTTGACTATAATTTCTACTGTGTAATTATAACCATGAATGATTCAGTGAACTCTTGCTTTACTCATTTCTGAAAATTCTTTTACTCCAAACCAATCGTAAGTCACCAAATAACTAAAAGTAGCATTGAATAACTCTTCTATAATAAAAATCAGGGACCAGCAGATGTCATAATGGTTTCATCACTGGACTTCCAGCTATGAAATCCAGTAGTTGACTGCAATTGGAGTCCTGGAACTGGCAGCTTAAAACTCACGCCTGATGTATGTGTGTGCATGCCCAAAATCCACCCCCCCCCAAAAAAAAATAATGGACGAGAAGGGATTGTGGCATGGCCATCCCCCCAGGATATGATTTCTTGCTTTTGGTCTCTCTCTCTCTCTCTGTCTCTCCAGCAAGCACATGTACTCTATAGCAAAAATCTCTCTCAAAAAAAGAAAATAGAAATTAGTCATCAGCAAATATATATGCATTGTTCCAGTCCTATCTACTCTGTCCCAATGCAGTCTTAAAATATATGCTTCTCTGAAACAACCACAACCAACTCACAACTTGTGGGGTTTTTTTGTTTTTTTAAAGAAACATGTTCTCAGTAAGTAGAAAATAGATCACCTCAATAAAAAATGCATAATTTATTTTTGCAAAACATGTAAGTCTTTATGATTATTGGGAACTCAATTGGGCCAAAAGAAGAAGATACTTGGTGGGGAAGAACTTTTCATAGCAAAGTTCTTCTGTGGACTATTTCTTAAGGATTACATACCACTCTACAAAATGTTTCTCTTTACTCATATAACTGTTTACAGCTGAGCTTCCACACGCAGGAAGTTACATGTCAACTAGATCCTGTTTCATATAAGGTACTGAAACTAAAGTGTTTTGAGTAAATCCAGCTCAGGAAACCTGCAGTTTAGGACTCTGAGAGAAAGATCATTCTCTGAAAGTGCAATGAGCCCTCATGTCTGTGATATAAGAGTTCTTTCCAGGCAAGCTAATGGGTAGCCTGGTTCTCTTTCTTTTCATAGTCCTCTGTCAAAGAAGTTTTCTTACAGAACTAGTCAGCAATTAGTGCTGATCAGTCCAAAGGAAATTGCTGTCTGAAAGAAGCTGAATTCTAAGTATAATACAGATTTATTTTGTTTCCCTATGGAATCAACTCTCCCTTACCTGGAAGATCTGAGAATTACAAGAGGAAAGAATTTAGGCTAATGTGGCTGTTAACAGCAAAATAAATCTTCTGTAGTTAATAATAAATCAACCCAAATCAAACAAGCAAACAAAACAGAACAACTCTCCATGAATGAGCCTACTTTAAAGATCTATATTCTGAAGGTCATTTAACAGAATATTTGCTCATATAATGCTGTAAATATATATACAACTTAGGAGAAGTTGCCTTGAAAACAGTAAACCTCAAAAATTCCGAAGTAAATCTCCCAAGTCTAGTGTGACAGAAGTGAAGACACCAGATAGTTGCTGCTTTTTTATCATTTATTCTAAAGTTACTAGTCTGTTTCTAGTTCAGTTTCTAATTCCAAAGAGTTAGAAATAAACTTGCCTTATAGAAACATTTAAAAACTTCCATATGTAATTCTGAAACTATTGTTTTGTTTTCCTTTGTTCAAATTGTGATCACCTACCTTGAGTCAGGAACCTAGAATGTCACAATTTAGCCCCTTCTTTCTTTGGGAGATTTTTTTGTCAACGGTACTTTGTAGGAGAGTCTCTGATGGCTCAAGAAGATTACCAGTTGTGGTGATAGATTAGCCCAGGACAGTGGGTCTGTAAATGTTTCACATTTGTCATTTAATGGTGGCAAATTGTACTCTGTGCTATTGATTGATATTGACTTGGGAGATTGAGTACATCGGTAATGAACTAAGTGACTAAGTCTTCTGGCCTCTGGTTTCAAGTGTTGGATCTGTCTTACTTGGCCACATTCATGCTGATGTGTCTTCTAGACTTAAGGAAGTAATTTCAAAGAAGTCCCTGTACTTGTACCAGCAGGAGGAGACAACTGAATCATTCAGATAAGGCTGACTTGGTCAACTCCTAAGTGGTAGCACAATGGAGGCAAAGGAGCTCCATGGTGGGAAGCGAGTATCTCTGGCAACCCCACCATGTGACCTTCAGCTAGTCCTGGAGTCCTGATGTCTGGAAAAAGCCAGGTCACTTCTAGCTTCAAGGATCTAACCCTTTATATTATTTTAACTTTTTGTTATAAAATAATTATACATTTAAAGAAGAGATAGGAAATTCACACCCATTATTCCCATATACCTTTCACTCCATTTTCTTTCTAGTTAATATTTTACATATTCAAGGAATATTTATCAAAACTAAGAAATAAACATTATAATCCCATAATATCAGACTTTATATAAGATTTGTTTAAAGGGAGGCAATCATCCGAATGTCTTTTTTACTTAGAATACATCAAAAAGGAGTTTAACAGAGAAACTTTAAAACTTCTACCACAGAGAGAGGGTTTCTGGTTTTTTTTTTATCCATTTGTCCAGTCTATGTCTCTTAATTGGAGAATTTAATACATTGACAGTCAATGTAATTATTGATATTTCCGTACCTGAGACTATCCGCACTCCATGGTAGAGGGCGAAATATTGGAGGACATAAAAGCAGTGAAAGTACTTAACAAGTATAAGACAGTGTGGAATGGGGGGGGTGAAGAGAAGAGGATAGAGAAAGATAGCAAGAGAACAAATAGAGAGTCAGGACGTTAGTGGGAAACAGATATGGCTTATTACCTATTGATGATGACATGTATAGTATTCTCAACTGGATTGGTCTGAGAAGTATTTCATGATGGTTTAAGTCTTTTTACAAGCAAAATGAGAAAAAGTGATTGGCTGTTTAAAAAAACTTCTACCACAGATAAACTGGGATGTTTTTAATGAGAGCTTTTGAATTTTCTTTAACATTTCATACCCAGATTTTCTTGGTCTTACTTGTTAGTAATGGGAAACAAATTCAGCTAAAAGACCACAACTTATTTATACATAGGCTATCTTTTTCAATAAAGGAGTAAAAACTGAAATATTCATGTCTCTCACTTATCCAAACAAACATGACAAAATTACATCCATTTTAGAAAGCTGCGGTAACTTTTGTGTCCTCAAACTTCTATCCTGGCTGGTGTTTTTTCTCTTTATTCTCTCATCATTTATTATTTGTGTGTAGGTTAACAACCCCAGGTTTTGAAGCCTCTGGCATTCTTTCATAGATCTCCTTTAAAAGGGAGGGAGCTTCCCATTTGTTATAGTTTTGGTTCACTGCTTTTCTTTTCAATGTTGCTGCAGTTACTGTTTTTGCAGTCTGCTTAAGATATTTGTAAACAATCCAGTATTGAGCTCAAATTCACAAAAAAGGGTTGCTTTTCAGCAGACAGATAAGGAGTATTACAAAGGTCTGTGCCAAACATCTATCTCAGGAAGTGTTTACTGACTTCACCCCTATGGGTAATTTTGAAATTATGTCATGTTGTTCTAGATACAAGCCTATATTTAAAAAAAAACACCAGACACTACCCATCCCTTGAAATAAGAAATCGAATAGAAATAAGAATCTAACCTTGAATAGAAATCAAACTTAATAAATTCACAACCTTGAAATGTGAATATATTATATGTTCACTTATTCATTGCTTTTTTTCTTTTCTGGAGTCTATATAAAGACAAATGGGAAAAAAATCACTGATCTCAGGATGTTCATGATCTGAAACAAGAACTGGGCCATTCGGTTTTGCATGCATGTTCTCTGTAAGAATAGAGCCTCCCTTTGAATGCCTACCTTTCTCTGAGGACTCCTTTCAACTGTAAAGTTTCCTTGTAGGATTCTGATCTTAGAAGAACAGGAAGCAGACTGCGAAGTCTTATTCCTCAGACATATGTAATGCCAAGTGTGAATAGATGAAAAGGTGATATGAACTACTGTACTCATATAGCAACTCTGCTCCTTTAAATATCCCCACAAGGGGACAGCAG